ATAATATATTTCATTTAGATATTAAACTCAACCAATCAATAAAAAAAAGAGAAAATGAGAATCTGACTGCATTAGTTTTATTTTCACAGGAAACATGACATTTGTTTTTATGAAAAGCGCTGATTTCTAGTATTTGATTAAGTAATACTAATTACATTAAATGTTAATCTAAGCAGTTTGCTTCTCCGTCCTACGTAGAAAAGTCTGATATTTATAGGAAATAACACAACTCACATCTGATAACATTTTTTTGCAAAATCATTCTTGAAAAAAAAGAGGTGAGTTAATCATTTTTATTAATGTATCATTCTTTACTGCAAATATTTCACATTATAAGGATTATATGCATAAAAAACTGATCACTCAAGAAAATATAACTTACTAGGAATATGATAAATACATATTCTGTTGTTTTCACAATTATACAGTTACAATTTAATTGAGCAATTCGGACTGTTACGATAAATTTATAAATTATTTTATCATTCTATTTTTTTACTTGACTAAATTAGACACTGAGAAATGTCAGACGTTATTCGATACATAGATTTCAAAATTAGTAGTATCACAATTAACTTGAAGTGAAAATGATTTTATGTAAAAAGAATAGTTACATGAATAGTTTTCATTTTTTTTAATTACATCGCTGTTCACTAAAAACCTGTAAAATAGAAGTCTTTTTTTTTATAGATTTTAGATTGGAAAAGTATTCAACTTTGAACGAAATATCAATTATGGATAACAACAGTATAGCAGTTTCTCATGTAATCTATTAAAAGAAACAAAAACAATACTAAATAATCTTCTGTCTTTTTTAAATATTTCAGTCTGATGCCGTTAATTCAAACATAATGGAATCAAACCTGTTGTATGTATATTATCAATTGTAATATATAACAAAAAACGAATCTATTTCTTTAGATGTCAATATTTTCGAAAGAGGAAACTCATATGGATTATATTTTGTATTATTCTCGTTATTGTAATCACTACTATTTCAATTAGTATTCCTCTTACAATACAAGCAAGAAAGACAAAAAATGGAAATTCATTAGCAACACAAGAATCAACAACTGAAACAGGATCAACAAATGAAGAATCAATTACAAACACACTATTAACAACAACAAATAAACAATCAACAACAAAAATAACAACACCAGAGATGATAAAAACAACAACAACAGGTATAATTTTGCCAAAAGAAAATAATTTCATATTCGAAATAAGTCATAATAGATAAAGTATTTATTCAATCTTAAATATTCTATTAGAATAAAGACATACGATAGCAGTAATATAGCTGCATCTTTTCTTCACCTACAATCACACCCTCAAGCTCCACTCATTCTTTTCTAAGTAAGTCGGTAAATAAGCGACCGATGAAACTATTCGATTTTTTATGCTGTTATCTTAAAATAAAGTTCTTTTAATTTCAATATGTAAACAATGATCAATATTTAGGAAAAGTATGAATATTAATTAAGCAATACAATATGTGCATATTATTTCATTTAAACACTAACGACTAATGAATAAGGCCGAATATAAATAAAACTAATAGTTTGTTACTTCTCTAATCACATTTTCTAAGACTGAATACTGAAGAAAATGTATCTCTACATAGATAAAAGTTGAAAGTGAGGACTGATACATTTATTTTAATTTTGTCGTAGAACAAAAACTTCTTCCATCAATTTGATCATTTTTGATTACTGATGCATTTATCTTTGATGTTTCTGTCTGATGAACGAACGGATCGAGTCAGAAACTATCAAGTTGTTTTTCAAGAATACATATCTATTCAAATAAATGCTATTAAAAGGAGACACTTGAGCATTGATTTCTAAGGCTACATTATTTCTTTGAGAGTGTGGGCGTAGACATAGTTCCTACTGTCATACTCAGACCCACACCAACAGCATAATTCACACCCTCTCCCTCTTTTCAGATATCTCTCTATTGTAGGAACTCGAGATCAAATTCTAGCTATTGAATATTTTATCTGAAACATGATTGCTCTTTCATTTTAGCTATCATAACCAGTAAAACAATATCCACGTAAGTATCACATGACAATAATTTTAATAATTGAAAGATTTCAGAACTATCGATAGTACTTTGGAGCTAGTACGATTTGAACAACTAAACAATTAATTGCGAGAAAACAGTACATTGATATAACTGGTATAGTAGTCCACGATCTTGAGAAAACTGAGTAATTCTATTATATGAGAGATAGAAACGGATGTTCTACACGGATTTCATGTATAGGTCATGTGAACGTATAAAAAAATGGTGTGGCCATTGAGCAGATCTTGACAGATTCTAAAATTTTTAAACTTGAATTCGAATTGAATCCAAAATGTTGTTTATAAACTTTTCTTTGATTCGATCCGTTAATTCGACTCATCTCATGGGTGACTCGTGGGTTAGAACAAGTTTTATAAGCAACATATTTGATGATATATTCTTTAATTTATTAACTTATCTCACAGTTAATCAGTGTTTATGGACTTCTAACAAGGGTAGACTAGAAATATAAATTCTTTAAAAGACCCAATGATGAGTAGATTACTAGCCGAAGTCAGAGATGGTACAAACATCAGATATGATCCATCGTTTTCGTATAGTTAGTCTTGAGGACAAATAGGATATATAGATGTAATGTCTTGGAACAAGTAGATGAATAATTACAAGGAAGTTGCAGCGAAACAATGAAGAATAAAAAGTAATGACAAGCGAAATGTTTGTAAACAGGGTAACATACGAGTTAAGTGTAAAATGATAAATCCGGCCCCTAAATCCAAAAGTTGTGAGAGGTCTGATCCACATACGGGCTATGAGTTGAGTGGGCTGAGTCAAAACAAGTCGGCCCCGCGAACATTTTCGGATTTGACTAAGTGCGGATTTGGGATTGATACAATAGATTCTACTATCGAATATCATATGAATATGTGAGGCACTTTAGAAAAAGCGGATTTTTGCTTAATGAACACAATAATATTGTAAATCAGTAATTTCTCAATTTTAATTTCTACTATTCTTGTTTTGAAAAATATTCCATGAAACTTATGATTGCTTATAAGTTAAAAGATTATTGAAATTTTTTAATGAAATATACAAAAAGATGGAGAATAAAAAATCGAATAAAATAAGCTATTTGATTATAAGTTAGTATCTAACAGCTCAAATCTTATCAAGGTAATATAAGTCGATATCACATATTTCGATCAGTTAGAAGCAGTTATTGAGTATGTGGACTGGCAAATGTGCCTATCGTGTACATCTTTTACCAACATGAAGGTTTACCTATCACGTGTTATTGGCAACCATACCCTCAACATTTCATATTAGATTATTTTTATTTCTAAGTTTTTATATGATTTTTAACTCGATACATTATGAAAAAAGAAAAAAGATAGAAGTTGTGGACTTTGACTCTTGCTAACCAGTCGATTGTTACTTTTTTTCAATGCGTCCATAAATATTAGCTGATATCCGACAATAAATGAGCCTCTCAGCATTTTCACTATATCTCTTCTCATATTGGTTTATTCACATTTAATTTCTTCTCAAAAAGATTTCTCTTTAGATACTGTATAAAAATTGTGTATTTTTTTATTTACCTAAATAATATTCATCACTTTGCAAGGCACACTTGAAACGAACAAGTCGGGTTGAACTATTTCGATAGACGTTATTTTAGTTGAGGCCTGTTTTAGAAAATAATGAACGTTATTTAAACAAATTAAATACATCATTGTGTGAAACATAAGAAGATGAGTCTTTTTTTTTTAAAAAGTCTAAACTTGAGCAAATTACTAATGAGAGACATATCAAAATATAAAGACAGTCCATGATATTTAAAATGATCAAAATATTTATTTTACACAGTCGTTCATTTAATTTGTGTCTTGGAAACTGATGGATGGTATTTAGATAAATGAAAAAATACACCATTGTGTAGGCTATTTAAAGATCCATCTTTTGAAAAAAGTGAAGTCTGAACAAACTAATATGATGACAGAGGTAGCGAAAAGACGGCAGTCTTATTTATTCCGAAACATCGATTATTTCTGAATATTATTGCTTATATGTATATAAATATAAAGAACAACAACAGCGTCAACAATAACAATATTTTCAACAACATCAGCTTCAACATCATCAACAACAACATCAACAACAACATCATCAACAACATTATCAATAACATCATCGACAACGTCTTCAACAACAGTAGAAACATCACCAACAATATCAGAAGCATTATCAACAACAGTAGAAACATCGCCAACAACATCAGAAACATCACCAATAACATCAGAAGCATTATCAACAACAGTAGAAACATCGCCAACAACATCAGAAGCATTATCAACAACATCAGAAGCATTACCAACAACAGTAGAAACATCACCAACAACGTCAGAAACATTACCAACAACATCAGAAACATCATTAGAAACAACATCAGAAATATCGACTACTTCTACAACAACAACAGTAATAACAACATCGTCATCAACAACAGGTGAGTTATTTAAAACTTTTTCAAATTATTAGAAAAAATCTATTTTGTTGGTATAATGTACAAAGTACAATAATGTAGCATTCATAATTTTCGAAAACTACTTGCAAATTGTGATCATTAGATCATGTATAACGTTTCTGATTCAGTTGATCATAAAAATATAATTAGAACATCTTAATTGTTGTATCTCAATAATGTGTTTATTTTCACAAGGGATTCATAACAAAGGTGTCGGATGAATGATTTTTATACGGGTTAGCGTTGAGCTGAAGTGAACATAGATCAATCTTAACGAAATATAGTAGGATTGGATAGCCTGCTTCGAAGGTCTCAGCCCTGACTTATCTGCCAAAATGAGAAGATAGATTTTGTTGGACAACCAACGAATCACTTTTGGATTAGCCCATAGAATTAACTACATCTTTGAGACACTAGTTACAAAAAAGAAGTTCTTCGAAAAAAATATTATGGCAACATTGCATACGTTCTTCGTCAGGGTCTACATAATTATTATTTGATGAGATAATTTAAGAGACTCCTTTTCCAATCCTAAAATCTTCATATATGTAACACTTGAAATTTCAATTGTTTAACTATATAAGATGTGGAGGGAGGGGGGCATAAATAATAGTTGAGTAGTTAAACCAAAGTTTCAAGTATTACGTATATGAACAATTACACTATTTATCAAAAAGTATTTTTACTTTTCACACCGAAATAATATCAACTTGTATGAGACTTGAAAAGTAATTTTAATCTGTGACAGATTTTTACTTTATTTGAGTATCGTATTGTGCGGCTTCATACAATAATTATGTAAAAATGATTCGAATGAACGATACATTAGAAGATACAAGTTCTCTTTTATACATTTCATATGTGCATTCGAAAACAAAGGTGTTTAATTCAATTTCAACTTAACATAGAAATTAAAGTTCCACACTCAATTTTTGTATCTGATTAGCTGCCGATCTTATTCCATAGATGCATTAACACATATCATATTCTCTAAGGAGATAAATGCAATATAGACATTACTATACCATATCTAAGAACTATTTCTATCCATTTTCTAATATCACATGTCTCATTGATCTATAAGTGTGGGATAGTAAGATAGCTGATTTTTTCTTTTTTTTTATAGTTTGTCTCATATCTTCTCAATCATCATGGTCACAAACTGCAACTACTATATTTGGCAGCCAAGCAGGTACATCTGGCTCTACTCTTTCACTTATTTCTGGTCCTACTGGAATGTATTATGACGGATCTAATAATCTATTAACTATTACTGATCTTGGGAATCAACGTATTCTACAATTTTCTCTCAATAATCCGCCTTCAGCTGCAACGGTAATTGCTGGAGGTAATGGGCATGGTTGCAACATGAATCAGTTTCGTAGTGTTGATGGAATAAGTGTTGATAATTCTGGTCAATTTTATATAGGAGATTACGATTGCGGTCGATTTGTTAGATTTCCATCAAATTCAAATTCGGCGACAAATGGAACACTTCTCAGTTCTTCAAATGCAATAGCAGAAGTATTTATAAATCCATTGACTAATGATGTCTATTTCGTTGGCGCTGTTAATAATGCGATATATATGTTTGTTGGAGGGAGTGGATCACAGGTGACTGTTGCAGGTATATAATGTTCTTTGAGACAAATCTTTCGTTTAATATTGATTTTATTTTTGTATATAGGTGGCAATGGTGGTGGAGATGCCTTAAATCAGTTGTCGGGTCCCAATGGTGTTTACTATGATTATTTATATACAAATGCTTTGTACGTTGCCGATAGTAATAATCACCGTGTAATGAAATTCCCATCAGGTTCAACAAGTGTAACTTTTGGAACGGTTGTTGCTGGAGGTCATGGAGCTGGAAGTGGAGCGAATCAGTTCAATAGTCCAAGATCTATACTGGTCGACAGTAGTGGAACTCTTTATATAGCTGATGGAAGTAAGAGGAAATTTGAGAAATGAAAATATACTATATATTAAATAATCTCGTTTTACTTTTTTTCTTATCCAGATAACCATCGTGTTCAACGTTGGCCGCTAAATGCGATTAGTGGTACTACCATCGTTGGTACTGGTACATCAGGAACAGCAGCGAACCAACTCAATGTGCCTGAACAAATTCTCTTTGATAAATATAATAATCTATTGGTTGCTGATAGATATAATAATCGAATACAACTCTTTAACTTAACAACATGCTAATGTATAAGGACTTAATTACTACTGATTATTATCGTTAACAATAAAACTGTAAAAAAACCGGTTAATGTGATGACGTTTTCTTGATTTTTCATCAGTGTTCAACCTTAGAACATGTCTGTTTCTTATATGATATCTTCGCTTGCATATCTTCATCTTTTTCTGTGTTTGTTTTCTCATATTATACGCTGAATGTATATAATCATATATAAATACACATGCGTTCGTTTGTCTTTTGCTATATTTCGTTGGGCTTGATGTTATTGTAATTGTATGTGCATGCTTATACATTTAAAATAAAGATAAAAACGATCACTCCAGAAGTCTTCTAATAACTGACTGTGAGTTCAATCCATAGAATTAAAGCGATATGACCTATACAATTATGATTTTTGGCTATAGAAATATAAATGCATTCATATTGAAGATGTGAGTGTGGATATGTGTGAGAGTGTCTAGATGAATGTCAAAGAGGATGTAAGTGTGGATGTTTCTGTGGATCAGGCTGAGAAAGAGATAATCGAAACTCATACCCACACCTATTGTGACGCTATCCGCTGCATGTAATAAAAAACGCTCGTTCGAAGACTCGCTTAGCTCTTTCTCATAGAAATACACCCTCTTCATATTTACTGGAAAAAAATTTAAAACCTTGGTCTCATGGGCGGCGCGCCAGCAAGCAACGGGCCAGCAATTGCGTCGCCTAAAAAGAATTTGGGGATGCAAGAAATTTTTATTGCATCCTCAAAATTTTTGTGCTGTCTTTGTCGATTAGAGTAAAACTGTCTAATTTAGTACACATATATTTAATACAATCTTGTAGTTAATATACAAGTGTTGATTAATATTGTCTTATGAATCTATATTTTATTATTTTGATGAATGTATTTCAGGCCCTATATATCCGACACGAAATCGTTGAAGTAATACATAATCATTTTTTCCATTATTTTTGACGCCCTCCTTTCACAGTAAAAACGATTGAAAATTTCACGCTCGACCAGCAATACTAATGTAGCCTCAGATTAAGTCTCGTCTTTTTAAAATTGATCAGCTGATACTTAAATAATCTTTATCTATTTTTATCAAAAGAATTGAAGTTATATTAAATAGCAAATGATTGGTGGAGCATAATAACTAATCTTTTTCTGGTGCTTGTTTTCAATAATATTGAGTTTTTCATTCGTTTTTCATAATTTTCTTTTCGTAAAATTTAATTTATTAACGTATATTAGAAATACAATTGCACAAGGACGATAATCATCTTCAGTATTAGTAAATATAGGAAAATATTATCAAATCGATATTGATACCACTGTAGCCGGTTGTATATTAAAAATAGATGAAAGAAAAAAAAATATTTTGAAATTAATTAAAAGAAATGTACATTTTTCTTGAACAAAAATTGATTTTATTCTACTATTAATACATATTTACGAACACTTATAACTATTCGAAGAGTTAAAAATGAAAAAAGATTCTTATACCTATAGTTTTAAAAAGAAGCAGCTGTTAAAATAGTTGGAAAACTTTTATGTTAGTATCAATTCTCACACCCAATGGTCACTGAACGAAGACAGTTAGAGAGACGAACATGAGTTTTTGCTAATTCGTTTTGAGTAATTTGTTTTCAGGGAAAGCGTTAGCCTGTTATGAGACTCTTAATTTACTCTCTGATAAATTAGTATGCAAAGTTTTAACGCTATGACTTTGAAAAATTAAGTTTTTAAAAAAACTTCTACTGCAGAACCCGTCAGTATGTGGGAGGATATACACTATACAGCCTTGTTTAAAAGTGTATTGCGTCCCGCAAAAAATTGAACCTGCGCCGCCCATGAATACGACTGATAAAATGTTTTATTTGAAGTCAAATAGAACAAATAATTAATAGTAGCCAAAAATATAATAATAACAATACCGATGCTGATGAGAGAACGAACAATACATGAGACTGATCACAACAGCGAGAGAAAAAACCAACAATAGTGATAATACAGAAATATATAGAAAGGGAACGAGGTTAACAACATAAAACACAGCAGTTAATGTCCTATATAGGTCATTCGACGACACTAACCAAGTCTTTGCTGAAATGAATGTTTTGATAAAGTTGTCTGTGCTATCATGTTTGACTAGCTGGAATAATCTGATTTGTCCAGCAACAACCGAAGATTTTCTTCCTTACTGTTCGACGAAAACGACTAGAAGCCATGAGAAATACGTAAAAACTACCCTAAAAATAATACAAAATAATATGAACAATCTTTGTACAAAATCAATGAAACATACCGCATAATTAACCCAAATTAGAAGGCCAGTGACTATGGCGATAAAGTACTGAATAGAATTAGGATCCACCTTCGCATTCACTCCAGATGCACACCAGAGATAGATATTGTAAATGCTCTGGGGAGCGAGAGAGAAAACAACTAATATTACTTGCATACAAATCATTCTTGTCAATTGCTTTTGAGCTCCTTGATCAGCAAGAGTAGTTGTTCGTTGAATATTTCGATAAGCTAAATATCCAAAGATAATCATCAACGAGCTAATTACAACAGTGAGCACAACAAAATTGAATAGTGGCACATAGATGTTAAAGACATTATTTGTATAAAGACAAACAGTAGAGGGTGGTGAGATGTTGGCAAAGTAAAAATATGGAATACCATATAAACCGCAAATGATCATCACAATGATCACAATATAATGAGCCCACTTGATATTACTCAAGTTGCGTAAACGAATATTTGATGATGTAGCGAAAAATTGATCAATCGTGGCCAAACACGAGTAACACAAAGAAATGAAACTAAGTGTAATACTAAAATATTTTCTGACTTTACACCAACCCATTGCAGTAACACCTAAGTTAATTCGAAATCCGTCAAATGCAATATGTATACCTAGATTAATGAACATTATGAAAATGTCCTGGATTGAACCAATAAGGTAATAGAATGTAGAAGGATTCGTGCGGTAGTTACGCACACTTGCGAAAACGATGATGTTGATTGAATTGCCTATTAAGCCCATGACAAGAAGAAAGGATAAAAAGTAGATCGAACATAGCTGGCTAATCTCTAGAAGTGACAAGACCATCTTTTTACACTAAGTGCACGGCGAAGAAATCTAAAACGTATATTTAACATTTGATTAGATATATCTAGACTCGACGTTTACAAAAATATTTGGTAGACTCGTTCCAGTCACACAACAGTTACAGAGTGAAATGAAGAGATCGTACTGTCTGTTGAATTATACTGGGGTTCTCAGAATTGAATGGAGCTGATTTGTCGATGTTTAATATTGAAAGATACGATGACTGCTTTAATTTTAGTTCTTAAATAGATCTACTTTCAACTATATAATATCAAGAGGAAAATAAATGGAACAAACTGAGTAACGATCTTACGATGAGTCTGAGTTTAAGTGAGTGTGGGTGTGGGTGAGAATATAATGTACTACTCAAATCTACGCTCCACATCACCTACGTCTCCTTGTAATTCGAAAATGGTCTTCTATAACATGGTGCGTTTTCCATGGATTCACTGACAACTATTCACTAGAAAGAAGGCATTACAATTAGTAGAAGACAAACTATTTTTCTTTTGATGCTGATCTTTGTTGCAAAAATGTATTGTTTATTGTTGCTTACTCCTTCTTTTTTCATATAACCACTCCGTTTCTTGATAATTTTTTGCAAATTAAACTTTCATACTTTACATCTGTCTCTTCTTTACTAACGGTGGCAACAGTAACAACAAACAATGATATAGTGTGTGTTTCTGTTTCTTTTTTTCAGATGTTTTGAACGGACTAGGCAAAGAATAAAGAAAAGAATGCTAGTGTGCGTACGGTACTCATCTGTTACTGTATTGTGCTAAATGGCGACATTTTCTTCCCTATTTTTTCTTATTATATGTGACTATATTTCTATGAAAAGTTAGAAATCGACTGTTACTTGTCTACTGTTTGTTCAGAGGCAACTTAATAATAGTTTTACTGGCCTACATATCATCATGATCAAGCGCATCGTTCGCTGTATCAGTGTACAGCTCACTGTAGTCAACCTTTATGAGTCGGATGCTATCGAAATTGAGACAAGACATCGTCGACACCTATCTACTTGTAGGGTGTGAGTGTATCATATTTATCTCACGATTAGTATAACAAAAACAAAAGAGAAAATTCTATCTCACATTTAAGTCAGATAAAGTCCTGTTACCACTGCTACAAAGACTTCGGGAAAAATAGGATACAGAGTATACAAATTCTAAGTAAGGATCAGGGACAAAAAGCTATAGTGTGCACTCACTACTAAACTATAAAACTCATAATTGAGATAAAAAAATATATTTTATTCCGCAGTTATATAGATACTTCGTTTGAGTTATAATTTATAATTCTGACGAGAGTTCAAAGTAGTGTTAGAAACAAGCAAAAAATATTTTTATTATATAAATATCTTTTTCCTTTTCGTTGCACATGTGAGTGCTTACTTTGAAGAATAAATTATAATTGATACACAATTATCTTCTGCCGTGTTGCTCCTTTTATATGACAAATTGAAGAAAAACGAAGAAAAAGATTGTTAGCATATTTCCTAGGAGATTAAAATAGAAAATATGATTTAGTCGGTATTGTTGGTAGGAGAAAGAAAAAAGTCTATTTAAATAAACAGAAGGAAACAACAAACGTTCAAAAAATAATAATGACAAAATAAAAAATAAATTTCGTTCGTTTGATTTGCTCAAAACACTGTATATGAGACAAGATTTTCTATAACCTACTGTGAAGACGATGCTTATTGGGAAGAGAGAAGACACACACACAGTAGAAATGAATATGAGTGATAATCGCGTCCATTGTACCGTTCGACGAAGAAGAATCGAGAAAAATAAATTTTACAATCTGAAGGAACTAAATCTTGTGCCTGATAGAGTGACCTCAAGTGTTGATGAAAATAATATTTTCTCTACACTTTATTGTGAAAACGGGGAGATCCGCTACTATAAGTGAAAACAGTGATGAATGACTTTCGTTTTAAAATAACAATGTTATTGAAAACCTTTCAAATAATCTCTACTAGATATATTTAACTCTGGTGATACCGACAAGATTCTCTCTATTAGGTGTCGTGAGACTATGATAATACGAGTGAAGGCTGTATTTCTTCCTTTTTCTCGTTGATTATGCCCGTAATGAATCAGAAGTATTTTTATTTCGCATAGATACATGAATAATGTTGTGATATATCTTTTATTCTTTTTTTTGGATACGATGGACATGCAAAAGTTTTAGCATTATAAAGTTGTTATCGATGCACACCTGATTTTAACACACTGCTTTCATAGGTCGATCAGTTAGTACGTATAATTCCAACAATCAATGTCGCTCTACATTTTCTTACAAAGACTGAATTTTATTTCGATCGAAAAGATTTTCTTTCTTGACTTTTTTGGAATATAATACCACTCGTTGAGATACAAAAACAAGAAAATTTCTATAGCAAATGGTTTGTTTTTCATAGGATTTTAGCAGTTATAAAGTTTAAAATGCCGCTCTACATTTTGTATGAAAACCGTGTTTTCTGGTAGTTTGAGCAATTTTTTATAATTATAGGACCTCAAAGTCTGATATCATTTAACTGTCAAATTCTTTTCCTTTCCTTCCTTTTCCATACTTAGTCAAATTGATTCCAAACGAATTTTGTAAAACGGCAGGCGGATCATCTTAATGTCGCTCTACGCAAAAATAAGAAATGTCTTCATCTCTTCTATGAATGATTCCTATTCATGAAAACTCATTTAAAACAAATATTGAGAAAATAATCCGAAAGTTTAAGGCGAGTGCTACAAATTTTGATTGAATAATAGTTTACAAAAGCTAATACTAGATTTTGAAAAAAAAACGTTTTTCACCGGCAGATGTCGTGAAAAGTGTAATAAATGATAATCATCAAATAAATGGGAATTTGAACTTTTTCTATTGTGTCTCAAATCAACAACATCAACATCATAAACACATATATCACTATGATTTAATCGAATAAGTCCAGAGAGAATTCCATCTCTACAACTAACATTCAAAACTCGTTGATTATTATCGATATGATTGTGAAAACCAAGCAAATAATTTCTTGATCATTATTTGTTGATTTTCAAATTGATCTATATCAGAATTATGATTATTACAATTTTTATTTCCCTACCTGTTATAATCTTACTTGAAAAACATAAACTTATAAGTTGATCAATGTATATTGCAACTATTTTTCTGTTTTGTTTATCAAAAAATAAGATACTTATATTACCTTCATCATACTATCACGTATGTCTTGCCACAATCACGCTATTATTTATAGACAAAATGCGTCGATATTACTCAAAAGTAAAATCAATATTGAAAATCAAGATAAATGATCCACGTATATCAATAATGTCTTATGTACTGAGAGTAGCCAATATAATTAGTACCGAATATTTATTCTGTTGATGAGCACTGTAGTATTTATATGATGAATATGCGTTACTGACCAGTCTACTAAAACTATAAGATTCGTATGCTTTCAAAAAAAGCAAAATGTGAACAACATGTTTCGTTTTTAAAAAAGAATGAAAACTGTACTATAACATTTATTTTACTCATCTAACGATGTAAAAAAGCTCGGAAATATCTCTCTTGAGTGTAGACTACATTTGTTCAAGATTTATTACTTACCATACTAAACTGTTGCCATTTATTTATACTATTATTTATTTTTTATCAAAGAATTTTTTCGTATTATTCTTTTTCTTTATGTAGTTACGATTTTTTGAAGAGAACGCTTGGTGTTTACTTCATACATTTGTTTTACATACATGGCAGCAAAGCTTAATCAACTGTTGAATAAACAGTTTCTTCCGCATAATGAATCGAACAATAGAATAACGTAAATATCAACCAAAATATTTCCTGGAAAAATTGTTGTACTTTATTTCTCATTTGTTTATTATAGTAATCGATTGAAACAAATCTATATCTCGTTTCTATTCCTTTTAGAACAGATTAATGTCGATCATGTTTAAATTTGACAGTAATTAGTACAAGAAATGTAATATGTGTGATGCAAATATCTTTCATGAAAAATATTAGTTCGAACAATATTACAAAATTATTTATCTTCGTTATTTCTTACAGAATTCATTTTCGTTGCAGAGAAAGATGTGAGGAAAATACTTCTTCGATAAGATACGTACCTAAAATACTCTGTTTGTCGCAATCAGATCTTGCATCATAATATTGACTATGACTTCGACATGATTGTGATTTGTGAGTCATTCCAAGACAATCGATTTGTTCATTATGATCTTTGTCTCGAGCAGGGATTGGATTTTATCTTTACTTTACCAAGTAAAATAAAGTGTAATATTTTCAGTTTTTTCAATAATACTTCAGGTCAGCGACATGAGGGTGAGTGTGAGAGGATTTGCGCTTTTTACTCACACCCTCAGCCTTATTCTACAACAAAATAAACCATTTTTTATTTGAGATATTTGATATTCTAAAACATAATCAATACACTTCCTTATTGATGTATTGAACCTATAGGAATCGTGTATAGGCATACACTAGCACAGTCGGACTGGATATAAATTTGATCGACGCATTAAATATTCAGATTCTGTTAACTTGCCCTAACTCAATTGCTACTAACTTGAAAGATTAACGTGAATTACAAGTTAACAGCAGTCGAATTAATTCTAATCTGATAATAAATTGAGAGCAATCATCCAGGATAAATAAGTTTTGTTTTATTAGAGTGTGTGTAGGTGTGATTGTAGATGAAGGCGGAGGTCAGGGCGTGGGTATTAGTGTGGGCGTGAGCCTTGTTCATGTCTCACATTTACACCCACCCCACATCCTCACCCACACCCACCCACACCCACCCACACCCACCCACACCCACCCACACCCACCCACACCCACCCACACCCACACCCACACCCACACCCACACCCTCAAACTAAACCATAAACTTATAAAATGCTAATCATAATTAAAATCAATGATAATAACAATAATGTAATACCAGTGATAATAACGATAATGTAACATAATAATAAACAATGCTAATCATAATCATCATCAACACATTAATATAATAACATTAATAATAAAACTAATGATAATAAAATAATGTAATGATAAACATACTAATCATAACATAACCATCTTGAGGGTGGGTGTGGGTCTGGGTGAAGAAAAGATCATTAATCGCACCCATACCCACACCCACACCCACGCCCACACCCACACCCACACCCACACCCTCACACACACCACCCACACCCACACACACCCACACCCACACCCACACCCACACCCACGCCCACACCCACACCCACACCCACACCCTCACACACACCACCCACACCCACACACACCCACACCCACACCCACACCCACACCCTCAAAGAATCATTCCGTGTACTTGTATATAATGATGATGATGATGTTGAAAGATTTGATAATACATTCATAAGATTTGTATTTAATTGAAATTTTTCATGTGAAAATTGATGAAATGAAATACTCCAAAGAAGATTAGTTAATGTTATTAAAAGTTCATCTTTTATACATTGAATATTAATAAATGTTATATCCGATGTAAATTGTATTCATAATTGAGATAAACAATTAAATAATTGATTATTTTCTTTCAAACATTTCTTTAAAATATCATCATTAACAAATAATTTACTTAGAACAACAAGACCTTCAGTCATATGAAAACCTTGATAGATTAATGAATTACATTGAGATGCATTTTTAATATTAAGGAAATTAATTGTTCAAGAATATAACACATTACTTGATCAGCAAGAAGAAAATTTTGTTTAATTTCATCAGCTTCAACAAGTAAAGCATAAGTTATTGATTGAATAAAATCAATATTTGAATATTCTTTTTCATTATGATCTTTTTTCATTTGTTCTTTACTTTCAATCAATGATTTAACACAATTCAATTCATTCAAGACTTCAACACCAACTATACATCGAGCTAATTTTTGTAAAATATAAAAAATATGAAGATCTGTATTGTATGATG